GTGGTCATAGAAATCCTAGCCTGCTACGTGACAATAAAAATATTATTTAGAAACATGTTCCATAGTATGATTCATTAATAAAATTGTAATTGAGTGGATCACTTATTCAGTTAACTACTGACGCCGAGACACAAGAGTTAGTACTATTTTAATTTATGACATTATAAGTGTTGCTGCTGTGATATAGTAACTGTGGTGGATTAATTAGTAGCTCATTTTTTGCTCGATGCATAAGCATGGAAATTAAAACTTGAAACTTGATCAGCACTGCGGCTAGAGTTCGGTCAATTTTTTTTGAACATCTAGCTATCCAAATAGTTATGCCTCGGAGACTTCACTTATTCAGCTTATGCCTTTTCAGATCATCACTGCGGCTAGAGTTCACTTTTTTGATCTTGTCATGGCTTGGTGGGTTTTGTAGTGACGGAGCTGATGGCTGTGAAGTTCAGGTTCTGAATGAGGAGGGGTTGTGGGCTGATGGCCAAGTGAGACAAAAGTTTCTCCATGTTTGTGTGCCCCAGGTAGTTTGTGTCTTCCTCCTGTCTTTCTCTCATTGACTCTGTCTTCCTCTGTGTTGCAGTAAACTTTGATATCTTTTCCTTTCCTGATGCTGCTATGCTGGTTTCGATTTTGCAAGAGAGAAATCCATTTAGATATATTCATATATATTGATTATGAGGTAATGCCAATGAGACAGGGAGATGGGGGAGAGTGTCGTATGCTCACATCGAAATAGTTTGCATAACGACTTATAAATTTTTAATATTTATGTGGTATCATCTTGATAATTAACTGGATATGTTACCCCCACAAGAAAACCTGTTTTTAAGATTATATTCTAAAAATAATCATGTTTAGAAGAGGTTATTTCACTTGTTATTAAGCTCATTACTCCATCTTGCAGGTTCTAGAAGACGGTATAGCCATACTAATGCTGCTGAGGCAAACACCTCTTCAGCATCCCATGCCTGGAGTGATGGTGTGGCACTACAGTGGACGATCTTGTGCAAGATGTTTGCTGAGCACCACCATGCAGTCCTCGAGTGCCAAGAGCACCTAGTTGCTCGCACTGCCTCATGGCTCCTCGTAGTTCGCATGTTTGAGATGCACGATTGGACATGTTAATGTAGTGGTTCTGGGCTTTTGATGGCTCTTGTTTTTTGAAAGTGCTTATACCCTGCAAAAAACTTTGTATTGCAAGGACAAGTCTTGCTTGTTCGTTGAAATTTGCTTATATTTGAAAACAAAATGTAATTTATGGTTATAAAATTTTGGATCATTTGAACTCTAGAAATAGAAACTTTCACGTTTAATCATAACTAAAATTCTTTGGGCTATAAATTAACTGAGATTGAAAAATGTAGTGCTATTTTGTCCGTTTGTTGCTGCATATCGGATTGACCATAACGCTTATTCCAAAGATAAAAAAAGGGGGTAAAAGGGGGACTTAGGACATGGCGTGAGGACATGGGCCATCAGCATTTAGCATTTCGAGAACTACCTGAACGGAGGCACCACCTAAGCACGTGTGGGTGAAAAAAAAACCGGCGACCGGGTCCTGAACGGAGGCACCATCTAAGCACGTGTGGGTAAAAAAAAGACGTTAAAAAATCGGCGTGGGAGGAAAAAAACGGCGTGAAAAATCAGCGTGGGAGGGGGGAAAAATGGAGGCGGGCTGCGGGTGCGCTGGTGGGCTGCGTGCCTCAGAAGGGGTCGGGTACTAAATAATAATCAGTACCCTAGGTACTATTTAGCGCAGTCATATATATATATATATATATATATATATATATATATATATATATATATATATATATATATATATATATATATATATATATCAGCATATACGTGAAATTTACTTGGCCTGTGTATCACCTACAGTCAAGATACTTCATCAGTCTAAATTGTATTTTTGCTGTGATTTATACGAAATTATTTGGACACTAGATTAATTAATATTCTTAACCCTTTTCCTTTCCTTGTCTACTCATGAGCTGATCCATTAATCCATTGCTCGTGAGCTAAGCACACGACCCAAGTAGCAGGCGGCAGCAGGTCAATGGACCAGCACAGTAACACACGCACTCTCCACTCTCTATTCTCCAGCATCCTCTCCGTGACTCTGCTTCCTTCTCCCCCTTGTCCAACCATGGCGCTCAAGCTAGTCGCTCCAAATCCAACTCCATGGATAGAGCCTTTCTACGATTAGTACACCAAAACAAGTCCCCAAGACCTATAGCTGCTATCTAGCTATCTCTCTCCTTCGATTTTCCCCTCTCTGTTGTGTGCAGGTTGGGGGGCCGGCGGCGGCCTGCTCCACCACGGTGCCGTGCGTGGCGGCCGTGATTTAAGGCAGGGCCAAGAAGACCCGTGTGTGCAGCACCACGACTCCGAAGCCCAGCGACAACCTCCACAACCTGACAGTGAGTGCTCCTACTCTTGCATCTTCATACTCAGTTCATCCAGTGTACTTTGCATCTCAAGCTACAGATAAGTGTCCCTAGACGTGGAAATTTCTTTTGTTAATGTTTTAGCCCAGGTTCAACTATTTATGTGTATTAGTGTATATTTGCATTAAAAAAACAGAATACTAGTTCATGTTCTGATTACAGCTAGCACACATATTTGTTAGCAGTGCTCTGCAAGTGCAGTCCAGATATCTATCTCCATGCCAGGCGTCTCGTGCTTTTAGTGGAGGAAAGAAAAAGTTTATCTAGGATGTGCACGTGAAATTAAACCTCACCTTAATCCTGGTGATGTTCAGCTTCAGTCTTAAGACTTGTGCTCGCTCAACAAGCACTCCTTGCAGATCTTGACTACTGAAATGTTTCTTGTTCTCGATTTGGTTGGTCCTCAGTTCCTCACATGGCCACTTTTCATGACTTCCTCCCTTGTCAGCCTCCCTTATTCTCACTCCCTTGCCACTCTCCATGGATGATCAGGTCACCATGTGGAAACGGTGTGAAAGGTTGGAAATTTTCTCAGGCTAGGATTAGAAGGGGTGTTCTTGGTAAGCCTCACCCTTGAGTAGGGAGTCAGGAACTGGTTTGCTACTACTTTGATGGGGGGATGCTCCTTTTACTCTTCTCCATCCCTCACTGCAGGCTGCGGCAGCTATTTACCTAAACATCCTAGTCTTGGTCAAGGTTCTGCAGTCTGCATAATGGGTTTGCCCAGTTGCTGCCACTGGATTGGCTGGCCTTCTTCTAGAAGGGTATGGCAACGGTAGATGTGAGAGAGGAAGGTTTTGTATTATATGTGAAGCTATATTGATATGCATATGTACATAGTTAAATTCCAAGAATTAACACATGATTTATGTATTTTCATGTCAAGGTGTATCAAATTACCTACTTGATGTAATTAAGAGGTACTTATTGTTTATTTAACTATGGTTAATTATTTGTTAAAAAGGTGGGTTCTTACACACATCGACAACTTTAAGAACCACCGTTAAATTTTTTCTCTTTAAATTTTTCAAAATTGCTCTAATACTCATTCCTCTTAAAAATTACACCGATTTCAAAGCAGCCCATCTAACTAAGTAAATATTTTTTTCTTAAATTATTTTCCAACTGGTCATGGATGGGCTCAGCCTGTCCTAGCCCAGCCCATGTTCATCCTAAATCCAAACCAAACTCATCTCTCCCCAGTCGGTCTCACGAGAGCGCTGCCTGGCAGCGGCGTTGGCCTCCCAGCGGTCTGCTCGAGTGCTCCTTGCCGACTTCTAGCGCATGGGGAGAAGTGAGGGCACCCCCAACAGTGACGCGTAAGCTAGCTCTAAATATTTTTTTTTATATATTTAATATAAAAGAGACAAAAGGTAATTCTTGATCCAGAGCTAAGCTTATACACATATTCTAAGAATACGTAAGAGTGTTATGTGAGTCTAATCATACTATAAGCCATTGCTAAAAGCTAACATTTTTAGGAAGGTTGGCTTAGAGCTACTAGCTGACTCTTACTGTTGCGGATGCCTAAGATCCGAATTTGAAATGGATTTTGCTTGGAAGCCGCTCCTTCCAAAGGGCCCGGCGCAACTTGGCGCGAGAATAACAGAAAAATGGCCACCACCACAGCTGGTGACCACTGCCAAGATCTTGTTTCATCTGGACGCACGCGCGCACGGCCGGGCCCCCCCCCCCCGCGGCCTGCTCCTGGACCGAATCTTCCCTTCCCAGAGCTTTTTCTTGTTGTGCCATCAATTCATCATCCTGGCACTCAGAAGTCTACGTACAAGCTATTTGCCCAGGGGTCAGCTTGCAGAAAAAACGGGGGTTTTCTTTCCACTGGCAGTCCCCATCGGCTGGTTGCTGCTTTTTGCTGCAGATTCAGCAGGGCCTATAAGGCCGCGTTTAGTTCAGCGCAGAATCGGCGCCGCCGGAATTCTCCGTCACTGTTTCGGCACTGTAGCACTTCGTTTGTATTTGGTAATAATTGTCCAATCGTTGACTAATTAGGCTCAAAATGTTCGTCTCGCAAAGTACAACCAAACTGTGTAATTAGTTTTTGATTTCGTCAACATTTAGTACTCCATGCATATACCACAAGTTTGATATAACGGAGAATCTTCTTTTTGCATAGTGACAAAATTTGGATTCTGGATAACTAAACAAGGCCTAAATACGTCCGTCGCCTGGCGGTGAGAGATGAGTTTAGACTGTATTTGGGCTAGACATGGGCTGGGACGGACCAAGCCCATACGGGATCTAGGTGGAGAATAATTAAAAAATATTTAATTAATTAGATTAGATGGGTTGCTTTAAGATTTGTATAATTAATAAAAAAGGAGTATTAAAATAATTATCTTAATTTTTATAAGCTCATCCCGCTCTTTAGACGTCATAACTGACGTACACACAGGTACTGAGGTACTCATTACGCTCTTTAGACGTACGTGATAGCTTACGTACACAGGTACTGCTGAGATAGCTAGGACGTACGGACCTGTGTCTACTACTGTACGTACGCGCATTGCAAAGACGAAGCCGGGGAACATGGACCACGGAAGCGAGGTGGCAAGGCCGATGACGGTGGAGTCTACCAACCTCGGCATGGCCGCCGCGGTCCAGCAGGGAGGCGAGGCACACATGAGCGCCAGCACCTTCCACGGTCAGCTCTGCGCTGCCGCCGCTCGCCGCGCCAGCTTCGAAGCAAGCGTGGCGGCGTACCACAACTCCGCCGAGTTCGCGCGAAATGTCCGCGCCGCCGCTGGACGCGGCGAGGTGCCTGCCGCCGTGTTCCACCGTGAACCCGCGCGCGGAGTGGCGTACGCCGGCATCGGCGAGTTCTGGCAGCAGCCAGGCCCGGTAGGTGTGGTGCTCGTAGGCCTGCAGCTCCCTGGCAGAGTCATGCCGGTGTACGACAACTACTACGGCTACCCTGCGCTACAGCCTCGCCGGACATAGCGCGGTGCTTGTCGATCTGCTCCCCGGCGGTGGCGGCACGGTGCAGAACTGGGACTACGCGCTACAGCCCTGTCCGGGTGCCAAACGTGACGGACAGGTCGATCTGCCCGAGCGGGTATACCTGCGTCCCTAGGATTACGCCGTGGAAGGGAGAGCTCACTGGGCGGAGCTCCGACCGGGGAATGCGCATGGCGTCGAGGGTGTCGACGTAGAGAATGTTGGCCGCTGCCTCCGTCCATCAGCACCTTGGTGAGGCGCTTCTTGCGGACGATGGGGTCGACGATGAGCGGGTAGCGACCCGGTCGGGCGACGTAGGAAGGATGATCTCTCCGATCAAAAGTGATCGGGGAGTCCGACCAGCTAAGGAAAGATGGGACGGCTGACTTGGCGGCGGATGCCTCTCTGTAGCGTACCTTGTGCTAGGGCTTGGAGTGGATGGCGTCGGATCCCCCAAAGATCACGAGGTATTCCTCGAGGTCGGGGAAGCCATCGTCATCCTTGCCTGTCGTGCCTCCTTTCTTGGCCGCCTTCTCCTTGCCTTTCCCTTCCTTTGGCTTGCCGGCCATGGGGTTTGAGCCCAGCATGGGCTCGAGGGGAAGCGCGAGTGTCTCGACGCTGGAGTCGTCGAGTGGCCCAGGGCCGGTGGAGAGCGCTCCTCCTCCAGTGGACGTCGGGACGAGCGCCTCCTCGCGGAGGCACAGTACGCCGAGCCGGTCGGCAACGAAGTCCAGACACCCTAAGAGGAAAGTCTGGAGCGGCTGGAAGACGGGAGAAACCTACATCCCAGCAGGTGGGAGCGCAGGAAACTCCAGCGAGCCAAAGCAAATCGTATAGCTTAAGCCCGCCATGACGAAGATGGTGGAAAGATGGGCCATCCGATGACCAAAAGCGTGAACGCACGTCGTTCTCTCCACGAACGGCGCACGGCGTTCTCTCCACGAACGACGCCAACTGTCGATGCGAAAAGTGACTAACAAGTAAACATTTGTAGTTTTGCCGTGCGTTGTGATTAGATGTGGCATAGCACTCAATGACACAGGGTTTATACTGGTTCGGGCAACGTGCCATACGTCCGTTTCAGTCGGTCGGTGACTTTATTCCTGAGCCCAGGTGCTCGAAGTTTGTTGTGGGGTTACAAACGAGTAGGAATGAGAAGGGGGTGTTAAAGGCCCGGTCGGACTCTGAACCGAAACGATGAGAGTGACGGGTGCTCTAACGTGCGCTAAGTATTGGAGCGTATGCTCTATGTAGTTGTTGTGTTCTGGAACCGTTGAGCTGTTCAAGTGCTCAGGTTGCCTAGAGCCAGAGAGAACGTCCAGCCTCTTTTCTTTCGAGAGCCGAGAGAACATACAGTCTCTTTTCTTTCGAGAGCCGAGAGAACGTCCAACCTCTTTTCTTTCGAGAGCCCCAGAGAGGAGAGAGCACATCCCCTTTTATAGTTGAAGGGGACTGCCTTACAAGTCAGAGAAAGAGGGAATGGATACGTGTGCTACCTAGTCTTGTTGCCCACGCTATCGGGTACGAGACGGTCGTCGACGTCCACAATACTGTTTATGTCAGACGCATGTGGCAGACTCTACCGTGTTCGTCTGGTACGGTAAACGTCGGCGCCTACAATACTGTTTGTGCTCTGACACGTCTGGAAGGTTGCATAGTGCCCGTCTGACACGTCTGGAAGGTTGCATAGTGCCCGTCTTACAATACTGAAGGTGCGCAGGACATGGCAGGGTACGGTCCTCGGTATTGCGGTTGACTTGAGCGCCTTACCTTATCTGTTCTGCCTTATCCCTAGGCCCTCACCGAGCGGGCGTCCCCGGTATGTCGTTCCCAGTTGGCCCGACCGTGTCGGTCGGGGAAGAATCACAAGCAGAGGTCCAGCGTATCCCCGGTCGAAAAAGGAGGTTGGAGTCGGACTGTGTCCCCACCTTGGCCAGTCTTTTCGGTCGGGGACCAAATCGTTGCCCTGGGCTGTCATTATGTATCTGGGCCGGCCCGGGAGGCGCGCGTTGTCGCAACGCCGTTTGATGGGCCGAGTTTTTTTTGCAGGAAGCGGGTTCATTGGAGACCCCGGGTTTATGAACCCGACACTTTCTATTATTTTTCTCCATCTCATTTGCTCCCACAATAACCCTTTAATCAGATAGTTAAATGTAAATATAATTAGTGCTTTCTTGTTTCCTTTCCTTTTAAATTGATCTCAGTTAACACCTAAATCATTGGGAATCAGTCTTCCTGTTATTACCGTGATTTTTTTTCTTGCCCAAGAATTAGATTGATCGTCGTATGAGAGACCTTGGGCTAATTAATTTCGTTTCTTTTTTTTTCTCTAAAATATTTTGCGTTCTTTTTCTAGTTTTTAGTTTTGTTTTGTATTATAAGACAAAATATTTATTTGGTTGTTATATATACACTTTGACTGTACATGTATTTTGTCATGATTGTTATTGAATCGAACGGCCCCCTACGGACAGACACGAGTGGAATTTCGTGGCTGTCAATCACCGAGCAAATAGCTAGCGAGAGGTCGTAGTGTTGCATGGACATGAATTCTGGACGACGGGGCTACCGGTCTACGGATTTGATGGCCCCCAGATACGGGAAAGTGGGAGGAAAGGAGACAAGGTCGAGAGCAGCAACACGGTGGCGCCGCTGCGGCTTCCTTCGGGCGCGAGGGACGGGGAGGTGTCAATGTCAACCTCAACCAGTAGTGCGCGGTGGCTGCCTGCACGCACGGCGGGCGCACACACAACGGGTGGCGTGCTGTGCCTGTGCGCCGGGGCGGATGCGGGCGCGAACATGAGGGAGGAGACGCCCAGAAAGCGAGTCCAAACGAAGTGACGACGGGCCAGCGTGTCAGCGACGTAATAGTCGTCCAACAAGTGCTGTGGCAGCTTGTGAGTTCATTTAGACTAGCATATCATTAGACTATCGGTATCAGGGCGTGACAGCAACAAGAACGCCCGCCCACGGCGTGCGTAAACAGCCACGAAATTCCACTCGTCGCTCGTCGGGCCGGCCGTCGTCCCGGCGGAGTTTGCGATTGCAGACTGCAGTGGCACGGATCGGGCTCATCGCGACCCGACCGGGGTGGGCCCATCGATCACCATCACGGCAAGGCGCTCTCCCTGCCTCGCCTCGCGCGCGTCTAGAAGATCCAATCCGGGTCGGGCTCAGTTCCATGATTCCATTCCATTCCACGGACCTTTTGCTATATAAGTAGCGCGCCATGCGGAGCCGGCGGAGGCCAAGCAATCCATCCACTCAACAACCACTCCAAGCAACCAAAGCCGCCCGGAAGCCAACCACTTGCTCGGGGCCTCGGGCGTTCGCGCATTGCCGGAGACGGAACCGGAGAACATGGACCACGGAGGCGACGCGGCCAGCCCGACGACGGTGGTGGAGTTCACCGAGCTCGTCATGGCTGGCGCGGTCGAGGCACACTCACACATGAGCACCGGCACGTTCCACGTCCAGCGCGGCGCTGCTGCCGCTCGCCGCGCCATCGTCGACGGCTTCGAACCAAGCGCGGCGGCGTTCCACGACTTCGCTGACCTCGCGCGCCATGTCGTGGTGCCTGTCGACGTGTCGTTCCACCTCCACCATCAGCCCGAACCCGGCGTGGCGTACCCCAACATCGGTGAGTTCTGGCGGCAGCTAATGGGCCTGGTCGATGTGGCGCTACTGGGCCCGCATCTCCCCGACGAAGTCGTCCAGGTGCTCCACAACTATGGGTACTCTTTTCTGCAGCCTCGCCCGCGCGCCGGAAGTGGCGTCGTGCTTGTCGACCTGCTCCCCGGAGACGGCCGCTCGGTGTACAACGGGGACTACGCGCTGCAGCCTCGTCCGGATGCCGGACATGGCGAGGTGCTTGTCGACCTGCTCCCCGTTCCCGACGGCGTCGGACATGGCGAGGAGTTTGTCGGCCAGCTCCCAGGCGGCGGCGGCGTCGCGGCGTCGCGGCGTATGGCGACTACGGCTACTACGCGCTGCAGCCCCTTCCGGGAGCCGGACATGGCCAGGTGCTTGTCGACCTGCTCCCCGACGGCACCGGACATGGCCAGGTGTTCGTCGGCCTCCTACCCGGCGGCGGTGGCGCGGCGGACGACTACGGCTACTACCCGTGGCAGTGGCAGCCCCGCCCGGGCGTCGGAAGCGGCGAGGTGTTCGTCAACTCAAGCAGCTTCGCGCCGCAGACTCTCGCGGGCACCGGGCGCGCCGACGGAATCGCTGGCGCGCTCCGCGTCCCCAACCTCGGCGCAGGGTACGACGGCTCCGTGGCCCTAGCTCACGACATCGGCGCAGGGTACGACAACCGCGGCATGGTGGCCGATCACCTGCGTCGTCTCCTTCCGTTCGTTGGAATCGGCGCCTCCTCCGTGGCTATCAATGGGCTCGCCGCCGGCCCGAGCTCGCCGGCGGTTGCCTTTCACCTCTTCATGCTGCTTTTGGGTGGTCTGTTTCTGGTTATCCTGCACGTGCTCCGTGCGTAGGCTTTGTCCGATGATGAGTAGACTGAAGCAGCCAAAGACTGATGGAGTATGATTATCTGATTACGAGCTGCGGTTAGATTTAGTAGGGAATAATCTGGCATGTGTGCTGTGTTGGGGTTCTGGATCTGTAGTCTGTTGCTTCGCTTGTTTAGTGTCTCGGCGTCAGGTTTGGTCAAATTTGTCGTGTCAAAATCCACCAGTCAGAGAAGAATATGGTCTTTGTATCATCATTCTGTTAAACTTGTTGTTTGTTTACTTTTTTGATAGAAGATCGAGTATACAACCATTATTGTTCACTGAAGTATTGTTACCCTAATAAACTTTCATTAAACATAGTCATTATTGTACTCATTTGGTTGCTCCTGTCATCTCAAATGTGACAGACTATAAAATCTAGAAATGAGATCTGTGGTTCGTGAGATACAATTATTAAATCTACCAGTCAACCAAGAATATAGTCATTGTATTACCATCTTGTTAAGCTTTGATGTTTGTTTACTTTTAGATACAAGATCGAGTGCAAAAGCCATGATTGTTCATTGAAGTCTTGTTAATTGAAGTATCATCCTAATAAGCTTCACTAAACATAGCCATTATTAGACTCATTTGGTTGCTCCTGTCATCTCAAATGCGACAGACTATAAAATCTAGAAATTAGATCTGTGGTTCGTGAGATACAATTATTAAATCTACCAAGAATGTATTCTTTGTATTATCATTTTGTTAAGCTTTGATGTTCGTTTGCTTTTAGATACAAGATCGAGTACAAAGCCATGATTGTTCACTGAAGTCCTGTTAACTGAAGTATCATCCTAATAAGCTTCATTAAACATAGCCATTATTGGACTCATTTTGTTGCTCCTGTCATCTCAAATGTGATAGACTACAAAATCTAGAAATTAGATCTGTGGTTCGTGAGATACAGTTATTTGAAGATCTTCAAGTCATAATATATAAAATGTTGCAATATGATTATCCAAAAATAAAAGGGCTTCTTTGTTTATTGTTAACAACAGGACCATGATATTAAAACGGAGACAACGCGTGCGGGAGGGAAAGAATAGAGAAAGTCGTGGAAAGCGACCAAGCCAAAATGCTACTAGTATTCAGCGTGTTTGCTTAGATCGTTTCTGCAGTTTATAAGTCGGCTGATGTTGTTTTGTCGTGAGAGAAAAACACTATATTATAATTGATAAACATGGCTAATACGATCAAGCGAACAGGATGATAGTATATATGCTTGCTATAACGATGAGGCAGAGGACCAATATGTAAGTAGAGTTTTTTTTCTCTCCCAAAAGCTTTACGTATCATTGTATTAAGTAGAAGAGTTTAGACAAACATACAACATGCTTGTATCGAGCGTCGAAGGAGGTCAACCTAACACAGCCGTAGCTGGACCATCTTAGCAAGAGACATCTAGATTCGATATTACATTACAGGAAAACAACCAATACCGACACAACAGTGCGACCTAGGAGGTGGCCTTGCGTCCTCGCGGCTCCCTAGACCGAACAGCCGGGAAGAGCTCGTCCAGCGCTTTGGCTTCGGACACAGTCAGGTCATCGCCGAAGAGCCTATCATAGGCCTCACCTCGCTTGGAAGCAAGTACTCGAGAGAGGCGCTGAGCCGCCAACCGCTTGCTCTGCCACAGCATCACTGGCTTAGCAGGAGGCTGCTTTGGAGGCTCACGAATTAGTGGAGAGTCCCTCTTACGCGTCACTTCATTGATAAAGTTATCGAGGCGGCGTTTGGTGGAGTCGTCGTTGTCCTCGGTCGGGTGGGTATCCACCGCGCGGTGAACTAGGAAGGCCAGCATCCACCGTGAGGTTCGGTGGGTCCACTGCCCAGTGAATGGGGCGTGGAGGTGGTGTCCGCAACGCATAGGAGACCACTGTTGCCGGGTCCTCATCCTCCATTTGGGGGGCATCATTGCGGGGCCTCATCTTGTAGTTGGGGGCCACCGGAGGTGACAACAAGCTCTCAAGAGAAGGCCACGCGACAATCCGACTGCTGGCAAGCAAGGCTGCGAACACCTCCAACATCGGGTCCTCTATGATGTCGCGACCATGCATGATGTCCGAGAACAACGTCAGCATCAACGGGTTAGGCTGGACGGTGTCCGTCTCACGAGACAGCTCATTGTGCCTAGGCTGAGCTTCAACAGCATCCGAGGTGAAGGCCGGAGCTGTTTGTGCAGTCCCTGCCGACCGCCCGTGACGCCTCTGTCTTCGGCACCGGCGACCACCGGTGACAGGAACGGCGTTGCCCGACTTGACCCCACCAGAGTCTTGAGAGCCACCATGGTCCACCGGCCCAGCGGAGCTGTCGTTACGGGTGCCACGAAGAGGGCACTACGGCTGGCGACCCATGGCTGTTGCATTGCCCGAGGTCTGAGAGCCAAAGCGCCTTGGGTGCTTGCAGTCGCGCGCAACGTGTCAAAATCCTCTGCACTATAGACATCGTTGGGGCAGCTTGCAGGTTGCCACCCGATGCGCGGAGGAGAGACAATTGAGGCATTTGTCGTGAAGATCTGCCGAGATGCGCCTCGGTGGTCGATGACTCGCTGGCTGGCCTCCGCTTGCTGGGCCTCGTTGCTCAACCGAGGCGGCCGCAGGTCGCGTCTCCTGCCGGTGGAGGATCTCCTACCACCCATCGACGTTGGGGCGGAGAACCGTCCGCGACGTCCGAGGCACTGGCGTGCCGGGATGCGGCCCTCCACTGGGCGAGCCAGCATGCCGTACAACAGCTGTGGGCACGGCCGACTGTGTTTCCTCGGCTTCGCTTAGCGCCCTGGCGACCTGCCGCTGCACCGCCACGGCCCGACGTTAGATGTTGGGTGCGCGGCAGGGACATCACAGGCAGTGTCACGTCCTCGGCGGCTGCGGCTCCTGACGAACCGCGTCCAGGTAGGGGCTCTTCCGCATCAGAGTCGTCGAGGAGGTCATCGTTTGCGCAACGACGGGCCTTGAAGCGTCTCGCCGCGCTACCCCCAGGATGGAAGGGGGCGGCTTGAGGGGAAAGGGGGGACGACGAGCTCGGAGCGGGGGCGGATGGGTGAACGAGGAAGACGTCGAAGTCGGAGGCAGCGGGGGCAGCACACTCCCCTGCTCCGCTTTCGCGCACTGTGCTGCGAAGGCGGCGACAGCATCATCCGGCCGTGGCCGCGGGGGTGGCGTGGACGCGGTAGAGGTCGCGCCGGCGTCGTCTGCTCCCGGCGGTGGGGCGGCCGCAGCAGGTGGCGCCGGAGATGGCTCGATCCTCAACAACGGAGGAGGCAGCTGCAGCGATGGCGAGCTAGACGCCGAGGCCACCGTCTCCACCATGGCTGCGGTCAGCGGGGGCCCATCAAGGGCACCTCCCTGATCGCAGCGAGATCCGGTGATGACGGTGCTAGGGAGGGCCCCGATGGTGGAGGGGCAGATCCAGGGGAGGTTGCCACCGGATGTCGAGCTCGGAGGAGGCGGCGGGCGCTGTTGAGGGCGTTGCCTCCCCCAGCGGCGGCTCATGACGGCCGGCTCCGGGTGGGGACGAGGGGGCCGACGCGGCGGCCGGGGTGGGGGGGCGGGTGGGGGGGGCGACCAACGGCGTCGCACACCATCCCCAGTCCGGAGGCCGGCAGAGGGGCGACGCCCAGCGGAATCCATGATGGGGAGCAGCGCCGTGTTGGGGCGCCATCGGGCGGCGCGGATGCGCGCCTAACGCGGGCGGTGGTGGTGGCCGTGCTTGCTGCAAGCGCACCCGCCCGTGTGGGGGGGGAGGAGGGGGCAGGAGGTGAGGGAGGGGGGGGGGGGGAGGGGAGGGGGAGGGCGCCGGGGGTGGATCCAGTGGCTAGGGTTCGTGGGTTCCCATCACCGAAGGCACACCTCAAGTGGCGAAACCTCTTGTAAGTAGAGTAAATCTTGATGACCAAAAGACGGTAGAATCGTAATGTAATGTAGCAGTATATATTCTCGTATTGGCATCAACCAGACTGAATATTAGATTCATTTTGGTGCTAATGTTGTCTGCAACATGATACAATAAACATATTACAAATTTGGATCCATGAACCGTGAGATACACCTATTTGTAGGTTTAAAGTTGTGAACGGGTAATGTGGTGCTGCGATTAGCTAAAAGGAGAAGGCTTCTCTCCCAAAGTTGCAGAATCAAATGACTTTGACATCGAAAGCGAGGCAGGCCTCTTCTCTTGGCGACTTCAGAGATCTTAACTTGAGTTGCAAAGTGGGACAAGTCTTTCTAGTAGTTAGTCATGGTCCATCGACAAGGCTTGCTATGCTGACATTCTAGCCGTATTTCATGTGACGCTGACCTCATAAACAAACTGAAGGTGTTGAGATTTCGTTCATGCATCCCCTTCTTTGCGAGGATATTAGTCAGAGTATACTTGGCAACATGCATGAGTAGGCCTGTTGTTGCCGGGATGTCCCATTAAAAAGGCGGGTGTCATATTTTCTGAAACAATATATAAAATCAGATCAGAATGCACTCAAGATGAGAGGATCCGTACGACACATCGTCCTTCATTCGAGGGAATTCAAATTCAAATATATAGATGTGCTGAAGATATGAACGAAAGAAAAGAATTGAATTTGATCCATCTCCTTCCTTTTCTTTTTTTTATTTGTGTAACTTGGGCTCCCGGTTTGCTTTGTAATTATCTTTTTCTTTTACATCGTCCAATAGAAATCCGGCAAAACTCTTGCCCCCTTTCTAAAAAAGAAATTCTAACCCAGTGTAAGTTGTCAACAGAAAAACTCTGTATAGATTGTTGAATTTGCAAATTGATAGATGTGGCCAAATACGCAAGTCACCTTGTCAATGGCCTCCTGAATCCAGAATCAGTCAACAGGCAACGTACTAGCTAGCCAGTAAACTGAAACATCTCAGTACCAGCGACAGCGGAAGCAGGAAAATCAAAGGAAAGTGACACTACTTAGAAAACGAGTAGAATCAATTGCTGCAAGTGGCTGGAACTGGAAGGCGACAGCCATGGGCGAGGATGCGAGGTGCCAGCCAGGGGGGGCAGCCTGCCAGGGAGGCGGGCCCGCCGTAGCGCGTAGACCGGCGCTAGGTGGGTGTGGGGTGGGGTAGTAGCATCCTCAAAACTGAAATCAACAATTCTATAGACTTTGGGAGGAACACGTTGTTTTTAGAATCGTTTGTTTCTGATGAGCGCCCTTTTGGAATCGGCACTGCGACACTGCGTTTGGTTGGTTCTTCTTCCTGAAGGCATAGCCGTCGACGTTGGTCCTAAAAACGTACGATGAAATACAGCGGTGATTTCGATAACAACGTGAGTTGTTCCCACCGAACGATGACATGGGTTCGTGCAAACAGTGCCACCGTTGTTCGGTAACTCAGACATAGGCCTCTAGCCGGCTCCGCAAGTCGGATTGATCAGTGTTCAATATAACAGCTTAGCTTTAAGTACATTAGGACGGTTTGAGTTTTCATGTAATATCCTTCTAAACACCTAAGGCGCTGTTAAAGCATGTTGTATTAAATATTTTCTTTACTTTTATATAAAGACATGCAAATATTTTGTGTGATCGAGAAAAAAGAAACGATAATAGCTCCCGACGAGAAAGTCATCGGTTCTCGTACATTTTTTTTTGAAAAAATACCACATTACCTCCCTCAATTTTCGCGAAAGTCCGTTTTTCTCCATGAACTCTAAAACTGGGCAAAACAACTCTCTCAACTTTTAAAACCATTCATCTTACCTCTCTGGCCCTGTTATAAGCAGTTTTGAAGGTGGTTTTATCTTTATCTTTTTTATTTATTTCGGTTGAATCTTTAAAAACTCATAGTAAATCACAGAAAAATCATGAAATAGAAAATCCAATTTTATTGGACTCCACATGAATAAATCTATACAGTGAACATATAATATGTTATGCTTTAGTACAAAGTTTTTGGAATAATTTATTGTTGTAGTTTCTATGGTCTAATTATGATAAAATTTTTATAATAGGCTAATTATTGTATGATTGAACTGTAGTAAAAATTTCATACTTATTCGATCATGTATAGCTTAGTTATAGATTTATTTATATTTAATAAGCATAAACCTAAATGAAATCTATAACTAAGCTATAGATGATCCAATGAGTATGAAATTTTTACTACAGTTTAAGTATATAATAATTAGCCCACCATAAAAATTTCACCACAATTGGATCATAGAAATTACAGTTATGAATTATTCTATTTAATTACAGAAAAGCATAGATCTAAATCTACAGCAAAAACTTTGTACTAAAGCCTACCATATTATATGTTCACTGTGTAGATCTACTCATGTGGAGTCCAACAAAATTGAATTTTCCATTTTATGATTTTTCTATGATTTACTATGATTTTTTAAAAATTCAGCCGAAATAAATAAAAAAGATAAAGATAAAATCGCCTCCAAAACTGCTTATAACAGTAATAGTTGAGGGATGTGTTTTGCTCGGTTTTGGAGTTTGGTGGAGGAAAAACAGACTTTCGTGAAAGTTGAGAAAGGTATGGACAAGAATAATCGAATCTACTCGAGCCTGATTTGACGCGCGGGCGGGCCATTTGACCTCGCGTTTGGGTTTGGCTTTGGCGTCCGCGGCGGGCCGGCCCGCCACCACCTAGTACTTGGCTGAGGTGGAATGCGCTTGACGTCGAGGCAGCCCCCCGGAGTGTGCGGCATTTGTGCCGTTCAATCTGGGCCCGGCCAGCCTACATGCTACTGTATGTGTGCCGCGAAGAGACTCTTTTTTTTTAGGAAACCAGGGCAAAGAGAACTGTGGGGACAGAAGGAGTATACTTTAGTTGGGGGCATAGCAGCTCAAAGCTTTCAATTTCTATATAGGCCTTGTTTAGTTGGCGAATTTTTTTGGAAAATGATACTATAGCATTTTTCGTTGTTATTTGACAATTAGTGTCCAATCATAGTCTAATTAGGCTTAAAAGATTCGTCTCGTGAATTTCGTCTAAACTGTGTAATTAGTTTTATTTTTTATTTATATTTAATGCTTTATGCATGCGTCAAAAAATTCGATGTGACGAAGAATCTTAAAAAATTTTGCAAAATTTTGGGAACTAAACATGCACTTAGACATCCATACTTTTGAATGAAATTATATGTCTGCATTGGTCATACTCTAATACACAGTATTGTAAACTTGGACTATTGGCTTACGTCGACAATATAGTAGTACAGCTTCATTTATTTACAAACCCAATTAACATTGAGCCCCACACACGGTACGTACGCAGGCCAGAACGGTCGCCAATCATCGGATCCGACCGGTCGGACTCGAGGAATCTGCCGACCACCAGGTGTCACCACGTATATTCTGCATATTTGGGCTGATTTCTGTGTAGGTGGGCCTCTTTTCTCTGATGTTTTTTTTCCTTCCTTCATGGCCCAATGTATATGCTCCCTGGATGTCCCGTTTTGTTTGGCTGGTCACGTACATGGTTCACATGTAGTGCAGTGCTGATCTGTTTTTTTCCTTCTTTATTTACGCTGGTTTTACATGTAGTTTTACATGATCGCATCGAGAACAAGGCGACGAGAAACACAGGATCATCCCCGTCATCTCTCTATTACGGAGCCGTTAAGGATGCCTTTTTTATTTGCTTCGTAAAAGAGTGTTCTCATGTTTTGCCGGAGAAACCCATGCTGACGTCCATATTCAATTTTTGTACTCTGAAAATGATGTACACGGCACCGATTACTCATTTCCCATCTCCTGTGAGTCTGCGATTAGCTAAAAGGAGAAGGCTTCTCTCCCAAAGTTGCAGAATCAAATGACTTTGCCATCGAAAGCGAGGCAGGCCTCTTCTCTTGGCGACTTCAGAGATCTTAACTTGAGTTGCAAAGTGGGACAAGTCTTTCTAGTAGTTAGTCATGGTCCATCGACAAGGCTTGCTATGCTGACATTCTAGCCGTATTTCATGTGACGCTGACCTCATAAACAAACTGAAGGTGTTGAGATTTCGTTCATGCATCCCCTTCTTTGCGAGGATATTAGTCAGAGTATACTTGGCAACATGCATGAGGAGGCCTGTTGTTGCCGGGATGTCCCATTAAAAAGGCGGGTGTCATATTTTCTGAAACAATATATAAAATCAGATCAGAATGCACTCAAGATGAGAGGATCCGTACGACACATCGTCCTTCATTCGAGGGAATTCAAATTCAAATATATAGATGTGCTGAAGATATGAACGAAATAAAAGAATTGAATTTGATCCATCTCCTTCCTTTTTTTTTTTTATTTGTCTAACTTGGGCTCCCGGTTTGCTTTGTAATTATCTTTTTCTTTTACATCGTCCAATAGAAATCCGGCAAAACTCTTGCCCCTTTCTAAAAAAGAAATTCTAACCCAGTGTAAGTTGTCAACAGAAAAACTCTTTATAGATTGTTGAATTTGCAGATTGATAGATGTGGCCAAATAAGCAAGTCACCTTGTCAATGGCCTCCTGAATCCAGAATCAGTCAACAGGCAACGTACTAGCTAGCCAGTAAACTGAAACATCTCACTACCAGCGACAGCGAAAACAAGAAAATCAAAGGAAAGTGACACTACTTAGAAAACGAGTAGAACCAATTGCTGCAAGTGGCTGGAACTGGAAGGCGACAGCCATGGGCGAGGATGCGAGGTGCCAGCCGGGGGGGGGGCAGTCTGCCAGGGAGGCGGGCCCGCCGTAGCGCGTAGACCGGCGCTAGGTGGGTGTGGGGTGGGGTAGTAGCATCCTCAAAACTGAAATAAACAATTCTAGAGACTTTGCGAGGAACACGTTGTTTTTAGAATCGTTTGGAATCGGGACTGCGACACTGCGTTTGGTTGGTTCTTCTTCCCGAAGTCATCGCCGTCGACGTCGGTACTAAAGAAGTACGAAGAAATCTGCAGCGGTGATCTTGATAACATGCAGGTGCTACAGTGAGTTATTATCACCGAACGACGATGTGGGTCCGCGCAAGCAGTGCCGCTGCTGCTCGGCAACTCAGACATAGGCCTCCTAGCCGGCTCCGCAAGTCGGATTGATCAGTGTCCAATATAACAATTTAGCTTTAAGTACATTAGGACGGTCTGAGTGTTCATGTAATACTCTTCTAACCACCTAGGGTGTTGTTAAAGCATGTTGTATTAAACATTTTCTTTACTTTTATATAGAGACGCGCAAACCTTCTGTGTGATTGAGAAAAAAGAAACGACGATAGCTCCTGATGAGAAAATCACCGGTTCCTGTACATTTTTTTTTTGGAAAAAGACCACATTACCTCCCTCAATTTTCGTAAAAGTCCACTTTTCCTCCCTGAACTCTAAAACCAGGCAAAACATCTCCCTCAACTTTTTAAACCATTCATCTTATCTCCCTGGCCCTGTTATAAGCAGTTTTGAAGGTGGTTTTATCTTTATCTTTTTTATTTATTTCGGCTGAATCTTTGAAAGATCACAGTAAATCACGGAAAAATCATGAAATGGAAAATCCAATTTTATTTCGGCTAAATCTTTGAAAGATCACAGTAAATCGCAGGAAAATCATGAAATGGAAAATCCAATATGTTATGCTTTAGTATAAAGTTTTTGCTGTGACTTTTAGATCTATGCTTTTATGTAATTAATTGGAATAATTCATGCTTTTAAGTAAAAAGAACAAATCTATTCTGGTGCTCATGAACAGGGGCCAAAATAAAGGGGCATGACAGCGGACTTCCAACGAAACACGCGGTGGCCTTTTCATGTCAGACGCCAGTGATCCATCACAGAGATTTAGTAATAGTGAAGATAGATGGTGACAACAGCAACGGCCGCCATGAAGAATACCTTCATCACTTGCTTGGCTGTTGTGAGGCTGTTACTGAATTGTCGGCTGCTGCTGCACGAAATCAGATGTTCAATCAGCAATAAACACCAGGTAGGGTGAGTCCTGACAGATTCAGAGACACGCGCCGGCCGATTGCCGATAAATCGCTTCGACGACGGCGATCTACTCTCACCTGGCCGCTGCTTGCTGATGATCGGCGATGGTGGTGCGCGGCCTCATCATGACGTGATCGGCGATTCTGATGCGCAGCCACACCATGACGTGATCGGCGATGGTGGCGCGCGGCCTCATCATGACGGCGATCATGTGGAGAAGGAGCCTGGCGGTGGCCATGCTGGGTTTGTACACGAACATGTCGGCGTCGACGTAGGGCGCCGGCGGCGGGCCGTGGTTCAGCTCGAACTTCTCGTGGATGTTCTCCAACGACCCCTGAAAGCCCGCATCCAGGTATATCATCTGATCGTACTCCACGAACTGCACGAAGCCGGCCGGCGGCCACGACGACGACATTAACTTGAGCGATCGAGCACACACACCATACATATCATCGCAGGATCGATCAATTTCGCTACTTCGAAAGTTCGAATAAATAAAGTAGTTTGTGGATCATCAGCTCATCGGTTGGCTATAATTACCTCCCAGACGCGGAGCTTGTTGTAGTGGGGCGGGTACACGGGCTGGACCTCGCGGACGACGCAGCCCAGCTCATCCATGAGGACGCGGCGGCGAGACTCCGGCACGTCGGGCAGCACGGCCACCACCAGCGGGTAGGCCGAGCCGGCGTTGCGAAGGCCCTTTGCCAGCCCCACCACGCCCTTGAAGCTATCGTCATCGGCGCCGTCGTTCGCCAGGAGCGTCACGTAAGCCCTCGTCGCCGGCTTCATCACCGCCGCAGCAGCGTTCTTGTCCGCCATATCGACGGGACGGGCCGGCAGCTTGCGAAGAACGAGCTTTGTTTGGGAATTTGGAGGGTTATAAATTGCGTGGCTGATTGCCTGATCCACGACGGTACGGTGCGTGTGCTGGTGGTCGGTCCCGACTGCCGACGAGGAGGTTTAAATAGACAATACACGCAAGAGGAGGTCTCGGAATGTTCGCCTTGTTCGTTTAGGCTTGTTTGGCTGATAAGGTATGACTGAAAGTACTGTTGGCTGATTTGGTGTGAGAGAAAACTATTGTTTTTTGGCGAAAAATACGGCTTATAAGCCAATTAAGCCCAAACAAATAGGGCGGTTAGCTCCAAGGCATGCATACCTATGGCGCCGTGGCGGTGCCGCGGGATGACGGTGAGAGCATCACGTGGACAATATGGAAGATTTTGGACGAGTATACCATGAGAAAGCGTAAAACCGCTGTGGCTAAACCGAAGCAAAATGGGTAGTTGATCTTGTGGTCCCACTTTTATAAAGTATGGCATCAGATGCGGGGGATAAAGCTCCACGGTGGCTTGTAGGTGTAGCAGTGGCCATGTTTTCACAAGAACCGTGAACGTTAGCTCCAAGACATACATGTGGCGCCGTGGCGGTGCCGTGGGATCAAACGCCAAGAGCATCATGTGGATTGTGGATGTGGAAGGTTCTGGACGACTATACCAGGAGGAAGCGTAAAACCGTTGTGACCAAACCGAAGCAAAATGGGTAGTTGACCATGTGGCCCCACTTTATAAAGTATGGCATCAGAGGCGGGGGATAAGCTCCACGGTTGCTTGTAGGTGTAGTAGTGGCCATGCATTTCACAAGAACACCAGGAACGTTAGCTGCAAGGAATACATCTAGCGTCGTGGCGGTGCCGCGGGATCGGATGGTGAGAGTACCGTGTGGACTGTGGGTATTGAAGATTCTGAACGAGTATACCAGGAGGAAGCGTGAAGCCATTGTTGCCAAACCAAAGCAAACACTACCATGTGGCCCCACTCTATAAAGTATGGCATCAGAGGCGGGGATAAGCTCCACGGTTGCTTGTAGATGTAGTAGTGGCCATGCGTTTCACAAGAACACACCAGAAACGTTAGCTCCAAGGCATACGTCTGGCGTCGTGGCGATGCCGTGGGATCGGCTGGTGAGAGTACCATGTGGACTGTGGGCATCAAAGGTTCCGAACCAGTATACCAGGAGGAAGCGTGAAACCGTTGTGGCCAAACCAAAGCAAAATGGGTAGTTGGCCATGTGGCTTGTAGCAGTGGCCATGCGTTTCATGAGAACACCAGGAACTGACCGGTCCGCCCTTGAGAAATTAAGCTCGACGGCAAACTGCAATCAACTGCTATCGTCTTTGTGGAGACCTGAACATGTTACCTACTTTCGCGGGTTCGTTGCCGTGGCAAGCATTGTTGTTTGCTGGATGTTAGGAGTGTGGGTCTCCGGCGGCTCGGGTACTCAAAGAACACAAGAGGAGACACGGAGATGTATCCTGATTCAAGCTTCCGAGGCCCTACGCCCAGTAGTGAGTAGTCTTTGTATTCGAGTGCACCCAAATTGGAGGGTTACAACGAAGGAGAAAGAGAGTTTGGTAGGGGATCGCTCGGTGCTATCCTACGGCTCGTCGATGGTGAGATTGCTTCCCCAACGAGAAAGGGAAACACTCCTCGCTCTTGCTGGGTTACTAGGGCAGGGCACTCTGCTATTCCTCTCGGTTGCTCTGTTCTTCAGCCTCCTAGTGAACGAGGGAAAGGGAGAAGATCCTGCCATCTATGGGAGCCGACCTTCCCCTTATATCCAGGGAAGGCTGGGTACAAGGCGGTTTGGAGGCTACAGTCTATAGCCTTCGTGCACCAGGTTTTAGGAGGGTGCTACTACGGTGTGGATGGACCTCGACGTTGTTGTGGAGTCGGGGGAGCTAGCTGTGGGTGCTGCTTGACATCACTGCAGCCTTGGCGCTTGACCGCCAGGGGCTGTCTGCTGAGGACCGGCCTCCACCAGGTGAAGCCTTCTCGAGGTTTCCTTAGTAGCGAAGGCGCCCCGGCTCAGGGGGCTGACGAGCGGGCCTGGGAGCCCCACGCCTCTAGATCCGGTGGAGTGCTTTGTCTTGTTGTGGCATACCATCAACGTAACTCGTGAGAGATGAGTGGGCGACATGCCCCGCGCCTGTTGGTTAGGCTGGCGCCGAGGAGCCCCCGAGCCTTGGATGCTCGGTGGGCTAGCCAGCACTCGGGAGGTGGCCGATTCGGGGCATTGGTGGCTGGCCCGACCATCAGCTCAGGCTGGGGTAGACCTATGGCCAGGCTCGGTCTCCGTTGGTTGGGAGCTCGTGGCCTTGCCGAGCCCTCGAGCCCTGAGCGAAGGCGGTGGCCGTGCTTGGGCTCTGCCTAATCTTTGACCGGAGTGTATGTGAGCGTAGCCGATGGGTATAGCCCCTGAGCGATCCTGGTGGTCAAAAGCCTATCTCCCGGAGACTTAACATATCCCTATGTTTCACCTACACTCTAGGCATTTGTTGAGTAAATCTTTGACCTTTTTACAGGAAGCTGATGACAGCATGTTATATAATATAGCTGTATATTCTCAGTTTAATTTGTTAGAAATTTAGGCATTTTCATTATCAGTTTAATCCAGAAATATAATATCAGCAGGTTTGTGACGACATATATGTGCATGTGTATATTTCGTATGAACGCTACAGCATGCATAGATGATATACAGATCGATACAGTAAAAATACAAAATACAGTAATCACAAAGATTAGACTGTACCCAACGGAGGGTCCCATGCCGAGAGCATCGGAGGCTCCATTCGCACTAGTCGATATAGTGCGTTGCTCGAAGTCGCGGACTACAGTCGATGTAGGAAGATATTCGTAGTGCAGTCCCACGAACGGATCACCAGGAAGAAGACGCCTTGACGTTACAGGAAGAAGACGAATCCAAGAGCGATCTCCAGCAGGAAGAAGATGGATGAGCAGTCGCGGATCGCTCCCCAAAAACCTAATTGCCGCTCACCCCGTGCAAGATTCTCAGGCGGACGAGGGTTCCGGAGGCACCTGCTCTCCTGTTACTCCGTGCGCGCAGAGGTACGGGACGGGGAAGCCAGAAGGCTGCTGATCTGTGGTTCTCTCGGGAACTGTTTCGGATGATGGGGTCTGGACTGACAGAGGACGGGATATATGGCTGCGACAGGGAAAGGAGACGAAGGCAGCGGAGAATACCAGGAGACGGGAAGCGGAAGGGACGCTAACTGACGCAGTCAGTACGCCTCCACAATCAAGGAGTGAAACTCCCGTGATAATGTGGATTTAAGTGGCAAATGACTGGCCACGCCCGCCCGCTCGCTCGCCTGCCTGCCTCGCCTCGCCAAGCCACGCCACGCCACGCCATGCCCATGGCCTCGGCCAGGCCCGGCCCACGCCCACGCCCACGGCCCGGCTCGGCCGGCGGCGGCGGCGGCGCGCGTGTGGCACGTCTTTATCCTTTTCTCAGCTTCTCAATTTAGATGAATAATTTTCAACCATATAAGCTAAGTCAGCATTCAGTCAAAATCCCGTATGGTATTAAACCATACAACACTTAATGTTACGTATCATAGAGTTTTATTTAATTATTAAATATTATATGGGCCAAGCCCATATTATATCGAACAATCCCCACCAAACTCTAGGGTTTGTAACAAAGTAGTCTTAGAACCACATTTCTTTTATATACCAGTGTTTCGATGGAGACTGTTAAGTTGAACATTCATTTAAAACAATAGTTTCACTCAGTCACAACTGAACAATGGACTAAGCCTTAAATTGACAGTTTTGTGTGAGTTGAATGTCACTAAAGTCCTTAGCTGATACTAGGCAGCAAAACACATCCCCTCTATTTGAAGCATATAAGTCATACTTTAGTGCCTTTCATGAGTATTTAGAGATCACCCAAATCTCATAGACTGTGACCAGCAATCTGACTCATATAGGTGTGTTCCTCAAAAGATGTTCTGTAGGACAACATCTTTGCTTTGACAAGCCACTTGGAACACATTAAGGCAAAAGCCAGCCTGCCTTACAGAAAGGAAAGATATGCATAAGAAATGAGTCTTACTAAGGATCTTTCCTCACAATTTACTACTAGCTTGTTTCACCATCCTACTTCACGGGATCTCATAGAACAGGTTACCACTATAGTAAATTTCAAGTGGGTCTCAAACCCATCTCTCTCGATGCACTTTCTATCACATTGCGTGACAGACCCTTAGTGAACTGATCTGCCAGATTGTTAGACATGTGGACATAGTCCAACGCTATTACTCCAGAGTTTCTTAATTTTTTGACAGATTTTAGTCGTATCTTAACATGCCTTGTGGACTTCATGTTATCCTTAGAACTGTTAACCTTTGTAATCACAATCTGGTTATCGCAGTTCATATAAATAGCCGATATTGGTTTTTCAACAACCGGTAAATCCATAAGGAGATCACGAAGCCACTCATGCCTCAGATCTAGTAGTGTCTAGTGCTGTGAATTCTGCTTCCATTGTAGACTTTGTTAAGATAGTCTGCTTGCAAGACTTTCAGGAAACAGCGCCACCTCCAAGCGAAAACATATATCCACTTGTGGTATAAAGCTCATCAGCATCAGAAATCTAGTTGGCATCATAGTAGCCTTCTAACACTTTTGGATGTCTGGTATAACAAATACCATAGCTCATGGTCCCTTTTAGGTAGCGCATTAGTCTCTCAAGAGCACGCCAGTGATCATCTCTCAGGTTTGACACAAACCGGCTCAGCTTGCATACAACAAATGAGATGTTAGGCCTTGTTGCACTAGCAAGATACATGAGCGAACCAATGATCTGGGAATATCTCAATTGATCTCTTGCTATTCTCCGATTTTTCCTCAATAGCACACTAGGGTCATAAGGTGTAGGAGTAGGTGTACAGTCACTAAACCCAAAGCGCTCAGCACCTTTTCCACATAGTGGGTTTGTAACAGAGTTACCCCACCATTACCTTCTCTTTGAAGCTTGATATTAAGAATAACATCAGCCTCTCCTAAATCTTTCATCTCAAAATTTTTAGATAAAAATCCCTTCACATCTTCGATCACTTTAAGGCTGGATTCAAAGATTAGTATATCATCAACATATAAGCACAAAATGACTCCTTCACCACCACCATACCGATAGTACACACATTTGTCAGCTTCAGTCACAACAAAGCCAGCAGATGTTAAAGTTATGTCGAACTTCTCATGCCATTGCTTAGGAGCTTGTTTTAGGCCGTATAATAACTTTAATAATTTACACACTTTGCCTTCTTGACCATTTGACACAAACCCATCTGGCTGATCCATATAGATCTCCTCCTTCAACTCTCCATTTAGGAAAGCTGTCTTAACGTCCATTTGATGAACGATAAGACCATAAGAGGCTGTTAGGGAAAGCAAAACTCAAATTGTGGTCAGTCGGGCAACCAGTGAATAAGTATCAAAGAAATCCTCACCTTCCTTTTAGGTATAACCCTTAGCCACACGCCTTGCCTTGTACCTCTCAATAGTACCATCAGGCCTAAACTTTTTCTTGAACACCCATTTGCACCCTATAGGCTTGCACCCATAGGGACAATCAATAATTTTCCAAGTTCCATTAGACATAACAGAATCCATCTCACTCCGTACTGCTTCCTTTCATAAGTCAGTATCAGGAGAGGAATATGCCTCTTCAATGGTCGGTGGTGTGTCATTCACAAGGTACACAATATAGTCATCACCAAAAGACTTTGCATTCCTCTGTCTCTTACTTTTCCTTGTGACTATAATGTCATCCTCCTCAGGATTTTGTATATAGGGTTCCCTCAGATTATTCTATCGGAGTAAAATTTTCTTGCTCATGGGGAATTATAAATTCATGACTAGTCGTACTAGGTGCATTTTTCATGGGGAACTCATTCTCAAAAAAATATAGCGTCTCTAGATTCGATGATTGTATCAACAGCCATCTCAGGAACACTAGAATTTATAATTAAAAATCTATAACCCACGCTGTGAATAGTATAACTAAGAAAGACACCATCAACCGTCTTTGGTCCAAGTTTTCACTTTTTGTTTATTGGCACATTCACCTTTGCCAAACAACCCCAAGTTCGCAGGTAAGAGAGATTTAATCTCTTCTTCTCCCATTCCTCGAATGGTGTAATTTCTTTGTTCTTTGTGGGCACTCTATTTAGGACATGACATGCTGTCAATATAGCCTCACCCCATCATTCCTTAGATAGTCCCGCAGTCTCCAACATGGCATTAACCAAATTAGTTAGAGTGCGGATCTTTCTCTCTGCAATCCCATTGGACTGTGGTAAGTATGGTGGCGTCCTCTCATGAATAATTCCATGCACCGCGCAAAACTCAGAAAATTCATTTGAGAAATATTCTCCCCCGCGATCGGACCGCAAACGCTTGATTTTCTTCTCAAGTTGATTTTCTACCTCAGCTTTATAGACTTTAAAATAATACAACGCTTCATCTTTTGTTTTTAATAAATACACGTAGCAAAATCTAGTGCAATCATCTATAAATGTCACGAAGTATCGTCTACCGCCTTTAGTCAATTCGCCATTCATTTCGCATAAATTAGAATGAACGAGTTCTAACGGTGCCAAGTTTCTCGCCTCAGCAGCCTTGTGAGGCTTGCACGGTTGCTTCGATTGCGCACACACACCTGGCACTTAGAATCTTTAACTAAGTTAAATTTCGGGATTAAATTTAGATTTGCAAGCCGCGTGAGACAGTCAAAATTAATGTGACAAAGTCGTGAATGCCATATATTCAACTCATCCGAAATAATAACATTGTTCACTACTTTATTACACACATCATCAAGCAAAGATAAGCGGAACAAGCCTCCGCAATCATAATCTTTTTCGACAAATGTTCCATGTCTCGACACAACATATTTATTGAACTCAAACACAATTTTAAAGCCATCGCGACACATCTGAGAAGCGCTAACAAGATTCTTCTTGATGAAGGGGACATACTGCACGTTCTTTAATAGCACCGTCTTTTCCGGAGTAAACTTCAGAACGACCGTACCAGCACCAAGAACACGGGCATGCGAACCGTTTTCCATCAGCAAGGCTCCAATCCTGCCGGCCTGATAGGAAGTAAACAAAGAAACATCAGCACACACATGAATATTAGCACCGCTGTCCATCCACCACTTAGGTGAAAGACAAACTGAAAGAACAAAGGTTAAAGAATTACCATACCTAAATGTTCCTCCTCTAGTCTCGCTAATGACCACATTTGCTGATTTCTTTTCTTGCTTATATTTACGGTCTGGGCACGCACTTGCCCAATGCTCATCACTCCCGCAAACAAAGCATCCTCCACCTTTCTTGTTGTTTTTCTTCTTAAACTGTGCAGTCTGCTTAGACTTTGCATTGTTGTTCTCTTGCATGTTCTTCTTTTTTTTACGAGATGCTAATGAGTTTTTCTTCTGCACCATATTGGCAGCGGAAGACTCAACTTCTTTTCCACGGTTGTCTTTTGCTCTCGCCCTCTTCTCACCATCAAGAGATCCAATAAGCTCAGCCACGCTAAACTCTTGTCTCTTGTGTTTAAGAGAAGTAGCAAAATCCCTCCAAGAAGGTGGCAACTTAGCGATTATACCGCCGACCACAAACTTGTCGGGCAACAGATATGAGAAATGTTCTAGTTCCTTTGCCAGCGCATGTATCTCATAAGCTTGTTCGACCACAGAACGGTTTCCAACCATTTTGTAGTTATACAGCTGCTCTATAAGGTAGAGCTCACTACTAGCATCAGAAACCCCAAACTTTGCCTCAAGAACATCCCATAATTCTTTGCCTGATGTGCAAGATATGTAGTTTTTCTCATACTTGGGATGAAGTGCACTAATCACGGCGCCTCGAAACAGGTTATCGGCAGCCAAGAACTTTCGCTCATCCTCAGGAGTAAACTGTTCAGGCTTCCCCTGTGCGGCGTGATAGCAGTTCATCGCAGTTAACCACAATACCATCTTGGCACGCCATATCATGAAATTCTTGCCATCAAAATTATTTGGCTTCAAAGCAGCAGCAAAACCACTGACAGAAAATTGCCTAACATTAGGTTTTTGGATTATTAGAAATTTAGGCATTTTCATTATCAGTTTAATCTAGAAATATAACATCAGCAGGTTTGTGACGACATATATGTGCATGTGTATATTTTTATGAATGCTACATCATGCATAGATGACATACAGATCGAAAACATCAATAAAAATATAAAATTAGAGTAATTACAAAGATCCCATGCGAGGGCATCGGAGGGTCCCATACCGAGGGCATCGGAGGCTCCATTCAAGTCGGACCACACTAGTCGATATAGTGCGTTGCTCGGAAGTCAAAGACGCCTTGACGATCGATGAAGAAGGAAGATGTTCGCCGAGTAGTCGCAGATCGCTCCCCAAAAACCTAATCGAGCCACCCGGATCACGGATCGGGTTTGACGATAAGACGCCTTCTGCGGGACGTTTGGGGATGGTTTTTCAGGAAGAAGTTCGAGCCCGAATCCAAGAGCGACCCGTGGTATCCAATGGATATCGAAATAAATCATTTGGAATTAAAAATGATGGACTAATAATGAGATTATTCGCGGATCGCTCATAAAAATATTTATTATTCGCCTTGTTTATACATGTGAATATGATTATCAGCGACGGGTAGGGTTCCGGAGGTATCCATGGGTTTGTTTTGGTGATGGATTTCCACCGAATCGCGCGCGGATTCGAGGATTTGGGTTTCGGTTTTGGGTGCACGGAGACTCCACCGATCCGCCGATCTGTTGCCATCCTTACTCACCCGTGCAAGATTGCTTTCGGATGATGGGCTTTCCCGTTATCGACTTGTGAGGACGGGATATGATCGTGTGGTTCTCTCGAACTGTTCGGATGATGGGGTCTAGGAGGCGGCGGCAAGGAGCTGCGGACGGGAAAGGAGACGAAAGCAGCGGAGAATCCCAGGAGACGGTAACTGACGCAGTCAGTACGCCTCCACAATCAAGGAGTGAAACTCCCGTGATAATGTGGATTTAAGTGGCAAAAGACTGGCCATGCCCGCCCGCGGCCCGCGGCGGCGGCGTTGCGCGCGCGCGTGTGGCACGCCTTTGTCCTTTTCTCAGCTTCACAATTTAGATGAATAATTTCCAACCATATAAGCTAAGTCAGCGTTCAGTCAAAATCCCGTATGCTATTAAACCATACAACACTTAATGTTACGTAACATAGAGTTTTATTTAATTATTAAATATTATATGGGCCAAGCCCATATTATATCTAACATAATACCGGGCTTGTTTAGGTACAGCTCAGATTCAATGATAACTTAGAAATTAGTGTACTAATAATTCATATGTAAAATAGGGGAAAATGTTTTTATTCGATTATTTTGGCCTGCATGTCATGGGGCAGGCTTACAGCGAAGGGTCGAGAACTTGGCCTGCGAACACCACCACGCCAGTGACATCCACCATGAGGAAGAAGAGGGGAAGGGGTGGTCCGCCACAAAATCAACAGGAGGATCATCCGAGATGCCAAACCCGTCCTCTATTTCTGCCACCGTGGCTGAGGCCGCCACGGTCGTTCCTTCCTCGTTCACGTTAAGGAAGCACTGGTACGTACGGTGGACCACGGGTGTCACTGTCACAGCCATAGGCGGCGCTGGCGGGCACATCATCTCGGTGAGGGGTCGTCGGAGACGAGGAACGGCAGGTCCAACCCCAGATCCTGCAGGAGCTGCGCCGCCTCGACGTTGAGCGACGCCTGAAACTTTGGGATCGTGAGCTCCCCCACCGTGAACCCTCCCTCCGCCACTGATGCGCGTAGGAGCGTGGCCGGGCTGGTGCGGAGCGCGCCACGAGGTCCAGCAGGCCGCCGTCGCGGTCATTAGGGAGGTAGATGTGTACATGGCGAACCTCTGCATGTCGTAGCATCCACCGCGGTAGGCCATGCGTAGGAGTGTAGGACCTTAAAGCCAGGGTGGACGCCGATCTTCAAGAGCTGGTGCTCATCATAGCTCCCCGTCATGAAGGGCACACGGACGGCACGGTCCGACGCGGCGTCGACGTAGAACGTGCCGTGCACGGTGAGTTCAGAAGAGAAGGCCTCGTACCAGTGGCCACTGAAATGCACCACGCTGGCGAGGACGACGACACGAAGCGCAGTGCGCTCCAGGTCCAGCCTCGACGAGAGGATGTCCTTGACGAGGCCGCCGGTCTTGCTCGCGACCCATTCGTTAATCTGGGCCCTCGTCTCCTCGGGCATCTCCTGCAAGGCGGCTGACTGCACGTCAGCCTTGTACGTTGCAGCGGCCGTGGTGGCGATGGCCGGGTTGAGGCGGACCGAAGCGTCGACCCAGACGCCCGTGGCTCACCGGACGTCGGCCCGCCGATCTCCGTCGTCCACGCCGTCGTGGGTTACGAGGACGACGGAGGGCACTTTGGAGGCGAGCAGAGCGTGTGCCTCGACGCCCGCAGGACACAGGAAGCCAACGATCTGGTCACGCGTGGCTCCCGAGGCGCCGGCGGCGAGGAGGGAGTGGACGGCGTGGAAAGAAACCGGCGAGAAGGCGAGCTTCTTGTTCTTGTCGTTGCTGAGGCTGGCGAGTAGGCGAACGGAGAGTGCGGCCTGGTCCCTCAAGGCGTCGGTGGTGGCCTCCTCAGCCATCTTACTTGGCGTCGGCGACGAAGCTGAGGGGTTCGATGGTGAGACTGAGTACAAAGGCTGGGATGAATTTTGCAATGGGAATGACTACTGTAATATACTACATATACATATACTACTCGCCATTTCTTAATGGGAGATACTAGCGCCCGGATGTGCAGACAAAAACACGTGTCCGGACGCCCACACCACCTTCATCACGTGCGCCCGTGAAAAGACCGCGCTTGCCGCTCAATCCCCCCCTGCCGCCCTCCTCTCTTCGCGACCGCGAGTCCGGACGCCCGTGCGCCCGCGAGAAACGCCATGCCAGCTGCTCCTTCCCCGGTTCCCCCTGACCCCCTCCTCTATCTCAGGGCGGGCGGGACCCGAGAGCCGGTATGAGGATGAGCACGTCCATCCGCAAGATCCTAGGTGCGCTGTGCGCCCCAACCACGGCCCATGGCTCGTCGTGCCCCATCCGCCGTGCCCCCCAGGACTCTACCTCTCAAACATGAAACACTTAGATGCAACATACGACTGAAGCAGATGAAACATTTGGAACATACAATTGAAACATGTGTGTAAAAAATATACAACATACAGATGAAACACTTGCAAATTGCAACACGAAAACACTTATTCCAAAATAAGACTGAAACAACTTCAATATTTCAAACATACTCTTTCAACATAGGTGTGAAACATGTGCAACATTCAGATAAAAATGTTTGCAACATAAGTCTAAAACAGATGAAACATTTTGAACAAACGCTTGCAACATGCCTCTAAAACACTTGCAACATAAGCAACATCCCGATCTACTTTTGTAACATCCATACGAAACACCTGCAACATACTTCTGAAACATCTGAAACACTTAAAACATACATTTGCAATATATGGGAGGGGAGGTTGGGGCCGGTTGATTCCGGCCTCGGGGCACGAGCACCACCAGCATGGGGCCATGCTCATGGGTGCCCTTGGGTTGGCCGGGGACTGACCTGAGGCGCGCGACGGCACCATGAGCAACCAGCAGAGGCGAGCGGCACACTCGACGGCGTTGGAGCGAGTGGCGCTGGTGGGACTGCGGGAGCAAGGAGCGAGAGGCGTGGGTGATCGTGTGTGACAAGCAGGAGCGAGAAAGCGAACAAGACATGGTGGTGGCGCGTGCGGGGAGATGGCTGTGGCGGGAAATGCGGAGTGGAGCGGACGGACGACCGCACGGCGCCATTGAGGGTGCGATGGGTGAGGAAATGGGTAGATATTTTTGAGAGAGATAGATCTGGGAGACATAAAGAGGAAGAGGCAGGCTTACTAGGCCACGCAAGCCCAGGAAGGCAGCGTCCGATCGGACAGACGCCCGACACTGAGCATTACCGTTTCTTAAGTCCTAAGCAAACAAGATGCGAACAGCTCACCCATAGTATTACAATAAGTAATAATAGCTCGGGTGGGCGTCATAAAAATGGGCTAGTAAAAAATTTAGGAGGTTAATTAAAGTTACCGAAATTGTGTTTTCTATATTCCTAAAATGTAAGTTCTATCCAATTATATTCAATTATATTAAACTTATATCCAATCGACCAAAGGTAATTGTATTTAATTGTGACTAATCTTATATTTGGAGTCATGCGAGATGATGAGGCGCTGGCGAATTTATTGTCAAACAGCCTGTTTGTTTGGCTGTGGCTTGTCGTAAACGATCGTAAATTTTCAGCCAGAATAATATTTTTCTCTCACATAAACCAGCCAGCAGTACTTCTTCACGAACCAGCAACGAAACGAACCAGCCAACCGAACAGGCTGAACGTAGATGGGCGAGCCTCTTAAGCTGGGCGTTACGGCAAGGCGTTGACGAAGTCGTCGTCAAAGTAGACGGGAAAGCCTATTGAGCCGAGAAAGATGTCGAAGCTATAGTTGATGTTGATGATGATAGCAAGGCCCCAGGCCGAAGGAAGCGGGGCAGAGCTGGAGTTAGACTCTGATGCCGATGGAGAAGCTCCTTGCCAAAATATTGGCTTAAGCAAAGTTGATCACGCCGAAGTCAATGACAAATCCCCTCGCCTAAATATTGACAAAGGTGAAGTCGATGTCGCCAAAGCTGGTGTGGTGCTGAAATGTTGGCGAGGTAAAGTTGATGGCAGAGGCCCTCACCAGCAACGAAGGTGAAGCTAGAGTTGACGGTGAGCCCTTGGGCTGAAGGTAGCAGGGTGAAGCTAGAGTTGATGCCGATGATGATGGCGAGCCCTGTGGTTTAAGGTGGTGGAGAGAAGTTGAAGTTGATGCCGAGCTATCGCTGAGCCCCCAAGCCGAAGGTTCGATATATAGGTCGAAGCTAAAGTCCAAGTCGATGCTGAGGGCCAGTCTTGAGGTGAAGGTAAGGTGGGGCAAAGTTGTAGTTGATGTCGGCGTTGTCGGTGAGCCCCTAATCAAAGGTTCAACATGAGGTTGCTGAGGTGCATGCCGATGCTGACGGTGAGCCCCCGGGATGAAAGTGTGGTGGGGCGAAGCTGTGGTTGATGTCAATGCTGACGTGAGCCCATAAGCCGAAGGTATGGTGGAGTGTGTTGGCGAAGTCGTCACTGAAGTACAGGCGAGCGCCTCGAGCTGAGCGAGATGGTGAGGTGGTGTTGTTGGTGATGCCAAAGGTGAGGGCAGACCCTCGAACCGATCTTGATGGCGAGGCGTTGACGAAGTCATCGTCGAAGTACACGAGTGAGACCCTTGAGCCAAGAAATATGGCGAGGCTGTGTTTGTCGATAAAATGATGCCATGGCCAAAGCAGCAAAACTTCCGACGGAGCCTTGTGGTGACGCGAAGCTGATGTCGATGGCGAGCCCCATTGCTCTGGGTATTAGGGTGAAACTGTAGTTGACATCGATGTTGATGGCGAGCCCCTGGGCCTAGTGTAGCAGGGTGAAGAACCACTCGTGTAGGAGAAATAGCAGACATGGCTAAAAATAAAAATAGAGAGGCCTCCAAAAAAATCGATTTTGCAGTACAGGTAGGTAGTACTACGACAAACACGGCACACAGCACATTGATGGTCTTGCCTTGGAACTCATGATACAACAGTGAACTAATAGGCTTATAGGCGATACATACAGATCACTTTATTCACGGTTGACCGTACCCATGCTTCAGGTTCAAGGCTAAGGATGGCAACGGGGATATAACCGTCGGCTATCGTCGGAACGTTCTCTTCCTCGCTACGGAAGAAATCATCCCGTCCCCGTCCCCGTTAACTGTCTCGGGTATAGATTCTTGCTCATCCCCATACCCGTCGGGCATCGGTCGGGTAACAGATACCCGACGGGTACTGCATACCCAATAAACAAGGACACTTGGGGTCGCAACTTTGCAATCGGAGACGTTTCTTCTTCATCCGGGTATAAGTGTCGGAGTCTCGGAGATGCCGAGGAGAAGGAGCGAGGTTGCGAGGAGGACGAGCAAAGGTGACAGAGGGACCTAACTGAGGAAGCGAGGGGCACGAGCGCTCGTGAGGCAGGCGTGCTTGTGCTGCTGGCGGAGATTGTGAGAAAAAATTGAACTAGGGTTCCTAGAACACACAAACTATATATATGATTGTTCAGATTTGAGCCAAAATACCTATGTTAAGCTTCTTTGGGTCTAATACTCGTATGACAGCTCAAATAGTCGGGTTCCCCAACGGGTAACGGGGACGGGTAAACAGGGAACGTTCCCGTACCCGCTATACCCATCGGGTATGGATTCTTGCCCATTTAGATACCCGCGAGTAAAGATATGATCCTATTCCCGTCCCCTAATGGATCAAATACCCGTCGGATATAGGGGCCGTTGCCATCTTTATTCAAGGCATAGATGAGTCGTCCTCATCGGGGGCGGCCTTGGTGGAAATCCGTGGATCCTGTCGGTACTTGTACCTCTTGGCCCAGAAGATGTAGTTGAGCCAGCCAAGAAATGACACAGCCGTGACAACCCAGTAGAACAGATCAAGGTGGCTGCTGTTGAGGTTCTTCCCCTCAAGCCACCCAGGGGCACTGCTGTTGTGGGTGACCCTGTTCAGCAGCCTCACCAGCAACGTGCCCAGCAGCGAGGACATCCCGAGCTGGCACCAGAAGAACTCCACGTCGATGGACTTCATGCCATCGGGCCTCGCCGGTGAAGAACTACAGCAGCCCCACGAAGGAGGTGGTGTCCGCCACGCCGCGCCGATCAGGAAGAACTGCGGCGCGAGCCAGAAGAGGGAGATCTGTCCGCCAGCGGCCACCGTGTCCTTCCTCTTCCTCTCGACGACCGCCGCGACGGCCGGGGCGACGGACGTGGCCAGGAAGCCCACGGCGACGCACTGCAGCTGCGTGATGCCGCCCGTGTACCCCGTGCGCCGACGCAGCAGCCGCACCAGGAGCCGGTCGTAGGCCACCAGCATCAGCGTCTGGAAGATGGACGGGATGATGAAGAGCATCGCCGAGTAGACGTGCACCTTCCCCAGCTTCGTGTTCGTCGTCATTCCCTGCTGGACGGTGAACGCGACTAGCAGTGGGCTCGATACGTGGGCCACCGTCGAGCTGAAGACGAGAGGCAGCATGCGTAGAACTATCTTGGTCTCTTCTAGCTACTTTTGCCGCGCTGCAGACTGACCAAGGTCCATCGTCTCTCCCGGTGTTGGTGTTCGCACAGGCTTTGTCCAGAAATCTGGGTAACCATGCATGTACACCATGGAAAATTTTAGAGATGTGCGTGCGTAGACTTAATTTGTTCACAAAGCCCTAAGTAATTTGCATGCATGAGAATGTAGCATGTCGAACCAACCTGCAGGACTCGGGTTAGGGCGCTGCCCTGAGGAACACGATTGCGGTACAAAGGGAGGCCAGCGGCAGAAACCAGCAAAGCTATGAGAATCAGGAGGGCGCTCAGGCCAAATCCGACGTTCCATCCTTTGGTGTTCTCTAGCCACACGATGAGGATAAGGCCGGCGACGGACCCGATGGACAGGCAGAAGGTGAACCAGTTGAAGAAGCTCGACTGCTGCCGGCCGGCCT